ACCAATGGACCCTCGATCCCAATTTGCAGTACGACTTCCCAAAGATGCCTCCATGGACATGATCATGTCACCTAATTCCCAGAACCAGGTCTGTCTGGATGTTCCAATCTCGATCGGCTGATTTCTGATCTCTTTCTCTTATCTTATCTTGGCCGATTTTACTCTATCTGTAATGCATATTATATTCTCCTCTTTGATTTGATTGCCGATATATATATATATATATATATATATATATATATATATATATATATATATATATTTTTTGTTATAAACGCGCTGCTACGGATCGAGAAATCGCCGGGATCGACAAAGCAAGAATACGAAAGCGAGAATCGAAAACACGACACACGATTTACGTGGTTCACTAACACGATGTGTGTTAGCTACGTCCACGGGCGAGAGAGAGCCGATTTCACTATATCAAGGAGATTACAGATTACAGAGGAGTATGAGAAGTATTTATAGTACTTCTCCATGTGGGTCTAAACCTAATCCAATCTAGCAAAGGAAACGGTTACAGACCAGGCCCAGAACCCGAACCCAAATAACATTGAGCCCATACACCGTGGTGCCAACCTTCTTCACCTTAATCCTCTTCTCTGTCCTCAAGAAATGATACCTCACATCGATGTGCTTAGTCCTCTCATGGTGGACTTAATCCTTGGCCAAGCATATTACACTCAAACTGTCGCAATACACCACTGCCTGATCATGATGTAGACCCAGATCACCAACCAGTCCCTTCAACCATATTCCCTCCTTAGCAGCTTCTGTCAACGCCATATACTCTGCCTCGGTAGTAGACAAAGTCACTGCCGACTGTAGAGTTGCCTTCCAGCGCACTACAGAACTCCCAAGAGTGAATACATAACCGGTCATCGATCTCCTCATGTCAACATCTCCAGCATAGTCCGAGTCAGAATACCCAGACACCAAGCACTCTGTATCACTTCCGAAGCTAATCCCCACATCAGGTGTACCCTTAAGGTACCGAAAGATCCTCTTCACAGCCTGCCAATGCTCCTTCCCAGGTTGTATCATAAACCTGCTGACAACACTAACAGCATGTGCAAGATCAGGTCTAGTGCATACCATAGCATACATCAAGCTACCTACTGCACTAGCATATGGGACTCTCGACATGTACTCCTTCTCAGCCTCTGACTGCGGTGCATAAGCTGAGGATAAATGAACATTTGAAGCACTAGGAGTATTTAAGGGCTTTGCTGAAGACATGCCAAACCTCGACAGTATCTTCTGGATGTAGCTCTTCTGTGACAAGAAAAGCTTCTTCTTCGATCTGTCCCTGTAAATCTCCATACCCAAGATCTTCTGAGCAGCTCCCAAATCCTTCATCTCAAACTCAGCACTGAGAAGCCCCTTTAACTTCTGGATATCAGACTTTGACCTCGCAGCTATGAGCATATCATCCACATACAGAACTAGATATATCATCGAACCATCCTCTGCCTTGCTGTGATATACACAACAATCATATGGACTTCTGTTGTAGCCCAGCTCAAGCATGTAACTGTCAAATCTCTTGTACCACTGCCTCAGAGATTGCTTAAGTCCATACAAGGACTTCTTCAGCTTACAAACATAGTCTTCTTTTCCCGGAACCTCGAATCCTTCTGGCTGAGTCATGTAAATTTCTTCTTCCAACTCTCCATGCAGGAAAGCTGTTTTCACGTCTAGCTGCTCGAGCTCCAAGTCATAATGTGCCACCATCGCTAGTAGCACTCTGATCGAAGTATGTCTGACCACTGGTGAGAAAATCTCATTGTAGTCAACTCCTTCCCTCTGCGAGAAGCCTCGTGCAACCACCCGAGCTTTAAATTTCATGCCCTCTTTAGAAGTGATTCCTTCCTTCTTCTTGTAGATCCACTTGTTTGTAACAATCTTCCTTCCCTGTGGTCGTTTGACTAGCTCCCAAGTCTGATTCCTGTCATGGGATTCCATCTCATCTCCCATTGCGGCAAGCCACTGATCAGCTTCACCACCCGAAACTGCATCTCTATAGGACTGTGGCTCTCCTGCATCCACTTCCTTAGCAACCTGAAATGAATACGCCACCATGTCCTCGAAGCCATACCTCTGTGGAGGTACTCCTGCAGTCGCTCTCTTCGGTCTACCGGAAGCAATAGACTGTTGAGCTCGTGCACTGGACTCTGAAGTTTCTGGCTCTGCAGAGACATCCTCATCATGTTGATCTTCTCCACCTTGGTGCTCAAACTCACTCTCATTGAGAGTTTGCAGCTCCACCTGCTTATCAACATTCCTGCTACCTTCAGCAACAGTAACCTTCGACATGGGGTTAAACATAGACTTCTCATCAAATATCACATTTCTACTAAGTATAACTCGATGCTCAGAAGGTGACCAGACTCGAAATCCCTTAACTCCATCTCCATAACCCACAAATACACCCTTCTTTGCCCTTGGGTTCAGTTTACCCTCATCCACATGATAATAAACAGGACACCCAAAAACTTTCAGTGAAGAGTAATCAGCAGGCTTACCATACCACACCTCATAAGGAGTCTTACACTCGATACCTGTGTGTGGTCCACGGTTGATCAGGAAGCACGCCATGTTTACTGCTTCTGCCCAGAATCTTCTCTCTAGTCCAGCATTAGAGAGCATGCACCGTGCTCTCTCCAACAATGTCTGGTTCATCCTTTCTGCAACGCCATTCTGCTGGGGTGTATCTCTAACAGTCCGATGACGGGCAATCCCTTCATCCTTGCAGAATTCGTTGAACTCAGAACTGCAGAACTCCAGACCATTGTCCGTTCGCAGCTTCTTGATCTTCTTCCCGGTCTGATTCTCCACCAATGTATTCCACTGCTTGAACTTCGTGAAAGCCTCACTTTTCTGCTTCATCATGAAAATCCAAGTAAATCTCGAATAATCATCAATAATAGACAGAAAATACATGCTGCCTCCAATGGATTCAACTCGTGAAGGACCCCAACAGTCGGAGTGGAGGTAATCCAGTATCCCCTTCGTCCGGTGGATACCCTTCTTGGGAAACTTGCTGCGATGTAGCTTCCCAAACACACAATGCTCACAGAATTCCAAATTCTGCACCTTGTGTCCGCAAAGAAGATCCCTCTTCGATAGGACTTGCATCCCCCGTTCACTCATATGCCCCAATCTCATGTGCCAGAGAGTGGTCATATCTTCCTGTTGAACCTGAGACGATGCAACTGCAGCAGAACCAGACAACACAGACCCTTGTAATGCATACAAGGTCCCACGCTTCACGCCCTTCAGCACCTTCCTTGAACCTTTGCAGACATACACAACTCCACCTTTTCCTTTGAAGCTGAAACCCTTGCTGTCGAGTAGACTCAAGGAGATCAGGTTTTTTGTCATTCGTGGAACATGCCTGACATCATTCACGGTACAGAACGAACCATCATGTGTCCGAACCTTTATGGACCCGATTCCAACAACCTTGCAGACAGCTCCATTAGCCATGACCACGTTACCACCATCTATCTGCTCGTAAGTTGTGAAGCAATCCCTGTTCGGAGACATATGGTATGAGGCTGCAGTATCCAGAAACCACACATCACCACGATGTGCCTTCTCATCTACAGCCAAGGCGAGATTGTCTTCAGAACTGTTGTCCACTTCTGCCACGGCAACTGAACCTTGTTTCTTCTGTTGCCATCTTCTCTTGGGAAAGTTGTACTTCCAATGCCCCACTTCCTTACAGTTGTGACAAGCATCACCTGGTTGTGGACCGGGACCCTTGGAATTCTTGCTCGAATTCCCTTTACCAGATTTCTTCTTTCCCTTTCCACCTGTAACAGCCAAACCCGATGCCTCACCACCTGTACCAGATCCGGACGCCTTATGCCTGATCTCTCTCGTATGAAGAGCAGACCTGACATCCTCCAACGACACGCTTTCTTTACCAGCAATAAAAGAATCAACGAAATTCTCATATGAACTCGGCAAAGAAACCAGCAGGATTAGGGCAGCATCCTCGTCATCAACTTGAACTCTATATTACGCAGATCCAGCAAAATAGAGTTAAGTTGTTCGAGATGTTCCCTCAAAGGCGTACCTTCTTGCATCCTCAAACTGAACAACCGTTGCTTGAGATGCAGCTTGTTGGTTAGAGACTTCGTCATATACAGACTCTCTAGTTTCAACCACAAGCCCGCGGCAGTCTTCTCAGCAGCGACTTCAATGATGACGTCATCAGACAACGATAGCATGATGGTCGAGTGGGCCTTCTCCTCCAGGGTATTCCACTCATCGTCATCGACCGCTGCCTTCTTCTGTTTCGCAGACAGCGGCCCCCACAGCCCTTGCTGTTTTAATAAAGCCTGCATCTTGATCTGCCATATAGCGAAGCTGTTCTTCCCCGTGAACTTTTCGATCTTCATGTTCACCGACGTCATTCTTCTGAATCGAAAACCCTAGCCTGATTTCCAGCCGCGGCTCTGATACCACTTGTTATAAACGCGCTGCTATGGATCGGGAAATCGCCGGGATCGACAAAGCAAGAATACGAAAGCGAGAATCGAAAACACGACACACGATTTACGTGGTTCACTAACACGATGTGTGTTAGCTACGTCCACGGGCGAGAGAGAGCCGATTTCACTATATCAAGGAGATTACAGATTACAGAGGAGTATGAGAAGTATTTATAGTACTTCTCCATGTGGGTCTAAACCTAATCCAATCTAGCAAAGGAAACGGTTACAGACCAAGCCCAGAACCCGAACCCAAATAACATTGAGCGCATACACCGTGCAGCGAGACCCCCGATTACCAGTCGTAGCGGCTGATAGTCCGATTCAAGTTATATCAATATATATATATATATATGCGCGCGCAGATTGGGTTTGATCGCGACCCTAAAGAGAGGATCAGGAGGTTGCTGCTGCAGAAAGTGGAGATTTCGAGCTCCTCATACGACACCGCATGGGCAGCAATGGTCCCATCTCCTCCTGCAGCAGCAGCAGCAGCAGGGAGTCGTCCCTCACTTCCCAGAGTGCGTCAACTGGATATTGGAGAAGCAACTCAAGGATGGTTCATGGGGTTTGCAGCTTCCTGACACTCGCCACCCTCGGCTTGTGAAAGACACGCTCTCCTCAACTTTGGCTTGCGTTCTTGCTCTCACCCAGTGGGGCATTGGGGAACAAAACCCAACCCCCCATCAAACCTCCCTCCTAATTCCTCAATGTTTTAACTACTGGGTGACGCTTCGTGAACAACAACAGAAATTGAAAACTGATCAACTAGTCAATTGACCAAAACTGAAATAGATAAACGCTAGCTTAACGGAAAATATCCAAAGTATTTCTTTTTTTCGATTTTTAATTAATAATTTTTCGGAACACCAAAACTGTTAACCATTTATCATCGATACTTAACATTAAGGAAAACCACAAAATAAAATAAACTCTGAAACCCAACATCAACTCCTCATTTTAAGCCACAAATTAGATTTCCTTTATTCTCATTAACTACAAATGAGCTGACATCATTAATTGACCAACAACATATATCAACATATATAGGTTTAAAATATATCTTCTTTTTTAAAATTCCAACTTGTTAACATCATACAATTTCTTATTAGTTATAGTTGGTGCACACTTGATTTTAAATACACATCATGTTCTTGGTACTCACTGGATACACATCATGTTCTAAGTTAGTTACTAAATTAGCATACATTTTGGAAAGTTTTCGTTTTGAAAATAAATTTGGGATAGTATTCCAAACATAGAAATTCATTTGAAAATGAATTTCACATAGTAATTCTTTTGTTTGAAATTAATGAGCTATGGTGTCAAATAGTCTATAAGGTAAAAATTATACCTAATAAAAAGAAAAAAGTTAGGTAAAAGAGAAATGTTAGAGCACTAAAATAAAATTATTAAAAAACGTGGTGAAGCAAGCTTTTAACCGCTGGTAAAAACGCAACAACAGGGTCCGGTTGTCCAATGTTTAAAATGCAACAACAGGGTCCGGTTGTCCAATGTTTAAAATGCAACAAAGCAAGCGGTTGACCGCTGGGTAAATATTAATAAACAACTAATAATGTAAGTACAAAATAAATTAAAAGTTTTAAATCAAAGAGAGGTCAAACGCAGGCCAAATTGCGTTTTGAACGGCGGACAAAAGTAGCAAGGTACCATTGACCTATGGTCAAACCCTGTTTTACCTGCGATTGCTGTCACATGTGGCCGATGACATGGCGCCAACAAGGTGACAACAAGGCTGCACATGTGTCATGCATGGAAGACTAGTAGCATAGAGATGCTCCTAGGATTCTCCACCTTAATAGAGAGCTTAATGGTGCACTTATTAGCTACATTATGGTAGTATTTATAGAGTGCATAATGGGGGGACTTAATGGGTGTATTGATGTAGTAGAGGGACATTATGAGGGGCATTGATGCCTTGTATGAGGAGAGGCCTATATAAGGAGCCATCTCCCTCACTTGTAACTCATTCCATCATTTTTGAGAGTAATACACACTAGAGAGTTCTCCCACTTCCTCTGTCTTGTTCTTGTTCTTTGCTTTCAAGTGAGTTGAGAGAAAGGCTGCCTAGCGCTCTAACGGATTTGAGAGCTAGGGCCGCACGATCGAGAGTAAGGTCGTGACAAGTGGTATCAGAGCCTGGTTCGGCTTTGTGCTAGCAAAGTTGAACCTAGAGCCAGAAGGAAAGGAAGAACCTCACCAAAAATGTCGGGATCAGACAGCGGCGTTACCGCCGAAGAGAGGCGCGGAAGGGATCCAACCAAGCATCCCAAGCCAAAGGGTGACAAGTCGAGCACTCGTGATCCTATGGCGGCACTGGAGAGGCGAGTCTCTCGAGTGGAAGTGAAGTTGGCGGAAGACATCACTGCCATCGAGGATTTGGGAGGTAACTTCGCCCAAGTCCAAGGCGATGTTCAAGGAATGGCGGGTCGGTTGACAAGCTTGGAGATCAACCACGATGGGATGCGGGAAGAGCTTATAGCCCTCATCAACAACACCATCACCACCTCCATGAACAACTCGCTTGAAGTTGTGAAAGAGCAAGTCCAGGCTGAGCTGGTCGGCGTGAAGGAGGAGATTGCAGACCTCAAGAGTGAGGTCACTCTCGTGAAGAGAGCCATGGCTAGCGGACCAGCCCCGGTGCAATCCGTCCCACGTGCTGATGTTCCAAGACCGAAGAACTTCGGAGGTTCAAGGAACGCGAGGGAGTTAGAGAACTTCCTTTGGAGTCTTGAGCAATACTTCAAGGCATCCGGCATCCAAGAGGATGAGGTAAAACTTCGTACCGCTCCACTATACTTGGTCGATGTTGCAATGGTGTGGTGGAGGCGACGTGAAGCGGACGTCGAAAGAGGTACTTGTGTGATGGTAACGTGGGAAGATTTCAAGAGAGAAATCAAGAGGCAGTTCTACCCGGAGAACGTGGAGTTTGAAGCCCGTTCGAAGTTGAGAAGACTCACCCAGAGGGGTGGAGTTCGAGAATATGTGAAAGAATTCTCGGAGCTGCTTCTAGAGATCCCGGACATCACGGACAAGGAGGCCATGCACGGCTTTCTTGATGGGCTGCAACCATGGGCCAAGATGGAGATGCAACGTCGAGGAGTGCAAGACCTTGCAACTGCCATGGCCACGGCGGAGTCTTTTGTCGAGTACAAAAGGCAAGAGAGCAGCGGCAAAGAGAAGAGTTCGAAGCCCAACAAGGGTGGAGAACAGCAGAAGCCTTTCAAGGAGGGCACTCGCGCTCAACAACACCAAGGTGGTTCGAGCAAAGGGGGTAAGTACGAACCAAAACCCATGTCTTGCTTCCTTTGCGACGGACCACATCGAGTGCGGGATTGTCCAAGGAAGGCAAGATTGGCGGCCATGGAAGCTCAAGATGAGGAGCCCAAGGCGGCGGAGGCCAAGATTGGCTCAATCCGCAAGCTTGGCGCGGCAAAGACCGACGTCAAGGAGAGCAAGCGTGGGAGGTGCTATGTTCTGGCGCAATTCATGCAAGGCGAGTCAAAAGCCTTGGTGGATACCGGTGCCACGGACAACTTCCTTCGCATCGAGGAGGCAAACCGGCTGGGTATTGCTTACGAGAAGGGGCAAGGGAGGCTCAAGACGATCAACTCGGAGTCCATCCCAATCCATGGAGTTGCTCACAACGTACCAATGAAGCTTGGCGAGTGGGAAGGTCTCATCGACTTTTCCGTCGTCACCATGGACGATCACCCAGTCATCCTCGGCATCAACTTCCTCGACAAGGAGGGAGTGCTCTTGAAGCCCAACTCCAACACGATGTGCTTGGAGAAGGAGGGGGAGTTTCACACGATCCATCTCTTGAGAGAAGATGGCCCCCATAGTGCTCTATCGGCCATGCAAGTGTTGAAGGGGTTCAAGAAGAATGAACCAACCTTTCTTGTGTCCTTGAAAATGGAGGAAGAAGGAGGCTCAGCGGGAATCACAACTCCCATCATCGAAGGCGTCCTCGAAGAGTTCGATGACGTGATGCCATCGGAGTTGCCCAAGAAGCTGCCACCAAGAAGAGAGGTGGACCACAAGATCGAGTTGGAGCCAGGAGCGAAGCCCCCTTCGCGAGCACCATACCGCATGTCGCCACCGGAGCTAGAAGAGTTGCGGAGGCAGCTCAAGGACTTGGTGGACGCAGGCTACATGCGGCCATCGAAGTCACCTTTTGGAGCACCGGTGCTGTTCCAAAAGAAGAAGGAAGGGTCGTTGCGGATGTGCATCGACTATCGAGCCATCAACAAGTTGACGGTGAAGAACAAGTGGCCGATTCCCAACATTGGCGATCTGTTCGACCAGCTTGGAGATGCTATGTGGTTCACCAAGCTAGATCTTCGCTCGGGCTACTATCAAGTGCGGATAGCAGAGGGCGACGAGCCAAAGACAGCTTGTGTGACGAGGTATGGCTCTTATTGAGAGTCTTTCAGCCCAACACTTCCTTTAATTAAAACCCAAACAGCAGAGTAGAAACCCGACCCAAGAGACAGAGTCTCAACTCTGCAACTCAGCTGCACAACGTCGAGAAGAACAGAGTTCTGGAAAACAGAGTTCTGTAAAAACAGAGTGCAAGAATAGAGCAGAAATGGAGAAGACACAGTCCGTTTTTTAACGTGGTTCGCCCAAGTGCAATGGTGTACTTCCACGTCCCAGAATATGGTCTGGGAGACCTTTTATTGAAGAATAAATCGCAAGCACAAATTAACACAGAACACGCAAGAAGAAGTAAACAAAAGGAACAAAGAAAAGCCTTTCTGCCTTGACACCAGTTGAACCTTTGCCTCAACTTGTGTCAACCCTTTTGCAAACCCAGTGCTATGCCCTTTACCACAATAGCTCCTACAAAAGTAGTCCAACATTATCAACCATTCGAGTATATATAGACTCCTCAATCAAGAGACTAGCCGTTGCACACAGAGAAGGTAAGTTCCCAATCAAGGCAATAGTTTCCTTATGTGAATCCAGAGATTGAGCTGCACAATAGCAACGGTTAGAAATTGACAATCTCCAACTTGATTTAATCCGCTGATTTCAACAATCTTATCATAGTCATATTATGATATTACCATATTGCTAATATTATTATATGACTATATGATATGAGCGTGATTTTTACCATGTGGGCAAAATCATGATATCACGGTAATGAGATAATATTATGAAGTCTTACTATAATGGTATGATGTTGCTATAATAATAATAAGATAATATGAAGTTTTATTTTTTAGCCAAAAAAATTAATTCATCATACCACTATGTTATCATAATATGACAGTGGGTTCGGTCTTCCCATGGTGGTAAGATTATACGATATGACATTTATAATATCACAACAAAAATGTACTTTTGAAGGACTAATTAGTTTTCTTTCTTAATATAAAGGAAAATATATATTATTGTGTAGATTATAATTAATGACAAAAAAAAATTAAAATTTTGAGTTAAAACAAAAAAGATATTATATCATATCATTATCATATCGATTGATGATATGATAATGAAAGTTTACAAGCAACACATCTTTTGGAAATCTTTTTTTTTTCTTTTTTCTTTCCAAAATATAGCGAAAATGGATATCATTGTGCAAATTATAATTAATGTGCTAGCTCTTTCTTTGTAAATTTTTTTAAATTTTGAAATAAAATAAATAAAATAGGGGCTCGATTAATTAAGAAAAATAAGATCGAGACAAGGAAAAATAGAGTTTAACTGGGAAAAAAAACTCATGTGTTCTTCTATAATCTGTGACACAGGCTGCCAACGAACCAAGTCACAAAAATAAGGATTGGAAATTATAAGACAAGACAAAAAAGTGTTTTTTTGTTAGTATAGGAACCGTCACAAAATGTGTTGGTTCTTGTGTTATGGAACTAACTAGTCCAGTATTCTTGGTCACTCACTCACTCTTTTCTTTTCTTTTCTTTTCTGGTAATTAATTAATATTGTCCTCAAAGCACTTGGATTTATGGAGCGGAATTGGGGTTCGCTGACTGACCCAAGCCAGTGGGATCCCGTGGGGTTTGACGTAATATTCCCGGCCATGATTCATACCGCTGGGAGCCAGAATTTGAATCTGAACCTCCTCCTCCCTCGCCCTCTCGGAAACAGAGACTCGCCGTCGCCGGCGAGCTCGAGTCCCGCTTCACGAGGGCGCAATGCTTATCTGGCATACATCTCCGAGGGGCTGGGAGCTTCGCAAGACTGGGGAACCACCATGAAATTCAAGAGGAAAAACGGCTCCCTCTTCAACTCTCCCTCCGCCGCCGCCATCCATCAAGGGTGCAGGTTCGTTTCGTAGCAACAACTTTTTCTCGAATCATTAATTAATTGGGATTGGGACCAGCTGCATGCATGCTTAGCTTCTTGGCAATTTATTTATTTGTTTGTTTGTTTGTTTGTTCCAGTTCCGTCCATCTATCCGCATGGGATTATGGCTCGGCTCTGCGCGATTGATACCATCAAGGACCTGGGGATCGACCTCCATTTCCAGGTCGAAATTAAGCAGGCACTGGATGATATTTATACATCCTGGCGGGAAGGAGATGAAGAGATCTTCCTCGACTGCGCAACTTGCGCCATGGCATTCCGAATACTGCGTAGGGGTGTCAGTCGGTCGGTTTCGGTTTAACCGAAAACCGTATTCTCGGTTATCGGTTAAACCGATCGACCACCCCGGCTACCGACTACCGACCGTGGGAGATACAGCGGTTAGCCGACCACCAACCGGTCGGTTGGCCGGTTTTGGTTCGGTTAGCCCCAAGACCGAAAACCACACCCTAATAAAAAAAAAATCTAAAAATCCTCCCACCACTCATTCTTTATCTCCTCAATCCTTCTCTCTCCAAAAATCCTCCCAAGACTCTCAGAAAGAAACCCCTAACTCTAGAAAGAAACCCCTAACTCTATACTCTCCCACCGAGAAATGGCCGCCGCAGCACCTCCGCCGCCGCCAACCCCGACTCCCACGCCGCCCACTGACCTGCCGCAGTCCGATTCCACCGCCCCATCCCGGCCGACGTCCCCCACATCTGCTCCGCCACCGAATCCGACCTCTCCTCCACCCTCTTCAACTCGCCTCCTTTCCAGTCCTTCACCGTCTTCCTCCTTGAAATCTCACACTCCCCATTTTCAATCCACCGCCTTCTTGCTTGCATGTCGTTCGCGGGAGACCTCGCGAAGCCGGCGGAGGGAGACGGCGTTCGCGCGGCGGCGGTTGGAGACGGCAGGCGGCGCGGCGGTGGTCGTGAGTCGGAGGGAGAAGGAGGGCGGCGGTGGTCATCTGGTTCTTCTTTCTTCTTCTGGGTTTTCTTTGAGAGGTGAAAGGGAAGAGAAGAGAGGTAGGAAGGATGACGGAAGAGAAGAGGGTCTTCTTTTTTTGGGTTTTCATTTTGAGAGGTGAAAGGGAAGAGAAGAGAGAGAGGATGCGGAAGAGAAGAGGGTGGAGGGGATGGCTAGGGTTTGGGGGGCCGGGTCGTTTTGAGGGGGTCGTTTTGAGAGGGGGGGCCGGGTCGTTTAGGAGGTTGGGTGAAGGCTCGGTTAGTCGGCTAACCGCCGGTTTCCGACCTCGGTTGGTCGGCTAGCCGAGCCTTCTCCCTTCGCTACCGACAACCGACCGAATGTAATTAAGGACGGTTGGTCGAAACCGACCGGTTAGCCGCTAACTGGAAAACCGATTGCCAGCCCTAATACTGCGCCTCAGCGGATATCGCCTCTCTCCAGGTACCTACAAATACAATACAACACAAATTAAATATAATATTGCCTCAAGTTACATTATATTCTTTCTTGTTTTTTCTTTTTTTTCTTCTTCAGACACATACACATACATACATTAACATACCATGCAATTTAACAACTTAATTGTTTTTCGCTAGGATATTATTTTCCAAGTTGCATTACATCTGAGATTTCACGATCGATCGAGCTTACTTAATTAGCTTGATTTGTCTATTCAAGTTTTCGAAAAAAATCATACCTACAGAATACGTGACTCTCCTTTTTCTTAGATGCGTTGACTCGATACACGGAGGATGGTTTTTGGAGTGACACACTGGAAGGATATTTGAAAGATGAGAAAGCTGTGTTGGAATTGTACAGAGCTTCAAGGATCATTTACCATGATGCCTCTGTTCTTGAAAATCAAATGTGCTGGACAAGGGATTTCCTCATGCAATTAACTGATCCAGAATCATGTCAGAATTCTGATCTAATTCAGAGGCCCACACTCAACAAATCCATTTTATTAAAGGTGAATCATATAACTATTTACAGATTTTAGGTTTGTTTATATAGCTGTATCATTTTAAATTCATTGTTTGGACGCACACTTGCAAGTTTTTGGTATTTAATATTTTACAACTTTTATTTTAAATTTTCCAATAACATACTATATTTTTGGAAAGTTATATTTTGATAACTAAATTTTATTTTTGCTTTCAATTTAGTATCTCAAGTTTTTTTTTACATAAAAAGGTCCAGAATTTTATTGCTAAATTACATGTTAGGTCCTTTATAATTTTTCCTTACACTATAGAACCTGAAATTTTAAAATTTTATGAACGGGCCTAACCTTTTGCTTTGATAAATTTCAAATCACTAGTTGTTGATATGTTTTTTTTTAAAGATAGTTGTTGATATATATTTGAAAGTCACAAGTAATACACTAGAAATGTATTTAGATATCACCCAAATGAATTTGGTTCAAATTCAAATATCATATGTAATTAATATTCAAACACATAAGTTAGTATATTTGACAATTCAAATCCCATATACCAAATCCAAATCATTCAATCCAAACACACCCCTTATAATATTTGGCACTTAATATCATCGTTAGGTGATTTAGATACATCTTAGACCATTCGAAAGAGTAACTATTACTTAAGTTGTTGATTGTTCAAAGAGGAAAAAATACAAAAACAAGACGAAAAGAGTCTGAGAAAAAAATACTGTACTATTGACATTAATGGAGAGGGGCTAGTATGCTAACAAATATTTTGTTGGTATGATGCTAATACTTGCTCCAGCCAATAAAAACATTTCGTTTAAATAACTTTTTAATTTAATTGAGTTGAACACAATTAATGATGGGCAAAGAGGTGAAGGGGCACTTTGATATTATGAAATTTTGTGGAAGAGGGAGGGGACCAACTTGTTTTGCACATTAAATAGGTGAGGGTGCACTAATTATTGGGAACACAATATACACACCACAAACATAAGAAATCACATAAGGAAACCACAAACCTTAAAAAGGAGACCATGGCATCACCACATCACAAGTTTATAAAAGCATACCACAAGTCTTATGAAGCAGACCATAAGTTAGGGATGGCAACGGGTCAGATCGGCAGCAGATAGTGGCTATCCAATACCCGCCCATCTAAGTTTCGAGCGGGTATCGAGTGGGTATCATATTAAGGAACGGATATCAATTCTCTCACTATACCCTTACCCACGGATATCCGACGGGTATTCGTATACCCACGGACATGTTATATAACAGATCATTAAACTCCAAAAAATTTATATAGCACCAACAACATGCTAATAAAGTATAGTAGTAGACCTTGAAAAGAAACTAAAAATACAAGAAAAAGTATTCTGCTACAATTCTTTTTCGTTAAGGTTCTCGTCAATTCAAACTTATAGAAGCTCCTGAATGACTGAAACCCTTCTCTTATATCTCTACATCTCTTGAGATGTAGTTGGCTAGTTGCTGTTACTATAAAGACTAAATAAATGAGAATCGTTGCTATTAGAATTGAGAGATTATTTAATTTGTCACTTTTTCATTAATGATAAAAGGCTTTGGCTTCGAGAAGAACAATTCATTTAATGTCTAGTGGAGTTTTATTTGATGGCTCTGAGAAGATGAGGAGTCAAAGGGTTGGAGGGTTGGGAATGGGAATTTAGAAAAGTTAAGTTGGGGAATGACGGGACATGGTTGAAAGTGAGAATGAGATTTGAGGTAAGAAGTAGATGGACCAATGGGGTATCTGGGTATTTAGGTACCGGATGGCTTCGTGGAGGATATTAGAATATACATACCTTGCCCGATAGCTACACATTCGAATTTTATCCGAAACCTACCCGAAATATGCAGGTTTTACCCGCATTGATCTGTTCGGATTAGGGTGGATACCCGATTAAATGGGGTTTTTTTCTACCAACCTTACCATAAGTATCATGATCGACACGGGTTTATTGTCGGCTATTTTGTCTATTTAGTGCCGGTTTTGATCGACACTATTTTTTGTGTCAGTTCCTTTAACCGACGCTAAATGCTCCAACACCAATCCAATTGGAGTTAGTTTTAGGTAACCGCTGGAATAACCGTTAGCAATCTGTTCTTACTTCAGTTAACAACAGACACAGATTTTCAAAATAGGGAATTTATTTTAATTGATTAATTAGAGCATCCACATCAAGCTTTCATTTTTGAATTGCAAATTGATGTGGCAATCGAAATGCAATTGCATTCTCAATTGCATGGATGTGAGTTTCAATTGCAATACTAAAAGCTTTTATTTTATGCAATCCCATATGCAATTGCCATGTAAGCATTTTTTTTACTTTTATGATTTTTTTATTTGTTTTTCATATTAGGTCTTTGCTGGCGGAATTTCTTTTCATAATGGCAGAAGCCTTTTTTTCCTTCTGATTTTCAATTTGATAGGCGGCCATCTATATAGTTTTTATTTTATTTTTATATTTCAATTCATATGTTGGGATTTGCAAGAGAAGTGTATATAGATAATAGATCATAGTGTATTTATCCCACTTTGGGAATGGAAAAATAAGAAAATCTATATCCATAATAATAATAATATATGAATAAAATAATAATCTTATAAATCTTTTATTTTATCAAAATATAATTTATGGCAACATATACAATTGCAAGTTAATTAGTGAATGAAATTAAAATGACGTGAATTGAAAAAAAAAAAAAAAAGAGTCTGCAATAAAGATGTGGATGCTCTTAGCCTCTTACAGTATTGATGACGGTTGTATTAATCGACTTAAATCGTTATTTTTTTTATAAAAAAAGACAGATCTACTCCGCCAATCCTCGTCCCCCAACGCTCAAATTCACCTACGATCACCTGTCCTCTTCCCTCCGGCGCTCAAATATTCCCTCCTTATCTTTGCCAAAATCTTCCCTCCCAAGTGTTCTTCGAAGGACTAACCTCGCTGCTGACTTGTTTCTTCCCACGGAAATCTAGCCAGTCAGCAACCCCCCGGCGAATCTGATTTCGGCTGCCCCGCCGTTCTCCTCACGGAAATCGCCCAATGGTCTCAAATCCTCCCCGCCGGCCAGTTTCTGTTTCACGCAAAATAAACTTGGTTCTCCGCCGCCTGGCCTCTGGATCTTCAACAAGCTCCCTGCAACCATTCTCTCAAATCGGCAGCGGCCCTCCCCTGTTCCCCTGACTCCCAAGACGGCAACAGAACCACCAAATCCATAACATGTGAGGGCACCCACAAACCCAGTCACATAGAAATCGGAACCCCAAATCCAAATCTAGCTCACGTCGCTCAAGCCCTTCCTTTTTCCTCCTCCTGGCCGCTTTACTACTGCCTCCACAACCAGCTGAGTTGCGCCACTGTAGCTTCTAGTATGGCTTTACCACCACTTGAAATCAATTAAAACTGGACTCAATCACATATCTGGGCTTGATTTGGTGGAGAAGGATATGAATTACCAAAGCAGGACACTGGCGGAGGGAAAGAAGGCTGCGATGGGAGATCTTTAGGGTGATGTGGTAGTGGTCGTCGCCATGGATAGAGCAGAGAGGTGCAAATTTGTGGAGAAAAGGAGAACAATAGAGAGGGAAGCGACCAATCAGATTGGGGAAAAAACAGAGAAAGATACGAATATACACAAGGCCACAATGGGAGGGAAATCTCCCGCTCGATAAAATTTCGGCCAGAATTGAAATTTTGGGAGCCAATTGATTTGTGGTGGGAAGGGGGAATATGGGCGGGTATGTGAAAACGTTTTAAGTCAAAAAAATTGAAATTGAATTTTATGTCGGTTAAGAACGGATTAAATTCGAATAATTGTGTCGGTTATCAATTTAACCGACACAAATAGTAAAAAAATGGTGTTAGTCGCTTAATCGACTCAAATAATCGACATAAATTTTAAAATTTGTGTCGGTTCAGTGAACCGACGCAAAGCATGTTTTTCTTGTAATGAAGCATACCACAAACACAAGGAACCACAACACAAAAAATCACAAACTTTAGAAAAGACACCACAACATTACCACGTCACAAGTTTAAGAAAAGCATACCACAACGACTTGTCATTCTACAAAATGGGACATTGATATTCATTATCTAAAAAGAACATCCATAATGCCTAACATTACGAGTTATATATACAACTGAATATCAATATATGTATTACGTAAGACTTACTTATCTCCGTTCAACTGTTATATATATAAGATAAACATATATGTTGCAAATTGATGATTATTTACTTCTTCTATAGCAAATGTGGAGGGTAGCTTGATGGAGGCAATGATTTTGTGTAGGTACACGATGTTCTCAATTATCCCCTATATGTTGAATTGGAACCCATGGCTTACAAAAGAAACATTGAGCAGTACTTGACAGATAATACAAGGATGCTAAAATCCTCCTACAGGTCTGACATCCAATTTCAAATAAGATTTTGTATCTCCATCTTACGACTAGACCAGGCCAATTCCTTGACGTTGAATTAGTATTTCCCTCTTCCATTCAGTTGTGCAAAATTTGGTGGTGGGTTTTTTCTGAAACCGGCTGTGGATGAGTACAACGCCCAACAGTCATTACACCTCAAGGAATTGGAACATCTGATGCAGTATGCATTCAGCTCATTCTAATCGACTATCATCAAAGAGGCATTTTGTATGTTTTAACTAACTAACTAACTAACAGCTTGATGCACATAAATAAATCATCATTCATGTTAATTAGGTGGCTTCAAGAGCACAAATTGGACGAGATGAGGGTTGCTAAGATGAAGATGAACTACTGCTACTTCAACAGCGTAACGACTTTCTGCGACCCTAGCCTTGCCGAGGCTCGCATTGCGTTCTCCAAATCCACTGTTCTTGTTTCTCTCATCGACGATCTGTTCGACATTCATGGAACCCGCGAGGAGCATCTCAACATTATTCATCTGTTTGAGAGGTGCGTGTGAAGATGATAACGCTTAATTGACATGCATGGTATCTTTCTTTCTTTCAAATATATATATATATATATAGAGCATCATTTGATCGATAACCCAGCTGATACGTGAATGCTTTAACTTGACAACAGGTGGGATGTTGATCGACCCAAGGTAGACTTTTGTTCGGAGAAAGTCGAGACATTGTATTGGGCGATTCATAGCACCCTTTGTGAGACCGTCGAGAAAGCATTTCCGACACAGGGTCGAAGTGTTATGGATCACGTTGTGGAGCTGGTAAGGCGAATTCTAGCTAGCTAGCTAGCTAGCTTCTTAAACCAACTGGATCGTCCAAGTTATTTAACCATGCATGAATATCTTGTTCTTACACATGCACACCTAGCTTGAGGGTTTGAAGTTTGCACAGGCCATGTACTCAAATCCGAAGCCATTATTGAATCAATGCATTAATCATTTCTCACACTCTGCTGGCTGTGCACTTGCAGTGGTTAGACATATTGAAAGCAATGTTCAAGGAGGCAGAGTGGTCCAGAACCAACACAGTCCCCGCCTTCGATGAATATATAACGAACGCAACCCTTACAATTGGTCTAGGACCATTCCTAGTTCCTGCTCTCTACTTAGTGGGCCATAGGCTTTCGGAAGACGACGTTAAGGGCACGCAGTTCTGCAGGCTTTTCAATGTGACGGCTCTCGGCTGTCGTTTATTCAATGATATAAGAGGGTTTGAGGTAAACGTTATAACAAACATAACTAACTAACTAACTAACTAACTGACCAATTACCACCAGGTATCACTCTGTACGCCCTTCCTTCCTTTTTCACCTTGCGCTAATGAATTTGCAGAGAGACGCTGAACAAGGGAAAGTGAATGCAGTGTCACTGCAGTCGATTGATCAGAACAATAATGCAGAACAAGTCATCAAACAGACTGAAATCTGGATAAAGAATCTCAACCGACAAGTGTCGAGGATGTCATTGGATGAAAAAGACTATGGTGTTCCTGACGCAGTTAGGGATGTGTTCTGGAAGTTTGTAAAAGGGTTATACTTGTTCTATGCCAAGGCAGACCTGTACTTCAACAGCACAAAGCTGATCAAGGTGGTGGAATCTATCATTAAGGAGCCCTTGAATCCACCCATTGCGACCTAGAGGCTAAGTTTGCAATGACTTGAGGAGCCCTTGAATCTACACATTTGTGTCTGTATTTGAGTCTTTCTGTTCTTCTTTATAGAGTCAAGAAAATCAAAAGTGTCTCTCGGAATAGTGTCTACTATTCCGGGAAGAGGAGTAACCCTGTGGTGAACCTCGTTAAAAATTCCGCTGTGTTCTTTCCTTTCTGCACTTTCATTTTTGAACTTTTCCAGCTTCCCCTGTTCTGCGTCTCTCTGGTTCTGGTCAGCTTGGCTCAGCGAAGAAGAAGAAGAACAATTTCTCTCTTTCTTCTCTGAGTTGAGATTCGGGCCTGTTTTGAAGTCAAGCCCAGTATCTTTTCATTCTGATCTGTGGGCTTCTCTTTAGACAGCCCAACCGAAACCAGCTCATACAAGATGGGTTAAAAAACGTTTCGGTCTAATTAGGTTTGATTCTTTTGCTCACCATTATTAGTCAAAATCCCTAATTGTTCTCGTCCCATTTCTATTTCACGAGCTCATTTCTCTCTTACAGAACCTACCCAATAGAATAAGCTCAGGGTAAAGGACCTTGACCTGATCCTCCGAGGCATTAGAGAAGATCCATAAAATTCCTGTGAATAATATACAATGACCTTATTTTGCATATCATCGTTTGTTTAAAGTAGTCATCAATTTCGTCCTTACCAAAATGCTCCCAAATATTTTAGAGCAAATTTAGCAAGCTTTCCCGCCAATTTTTCATTCATGAGGGAAAGAGTTATTATAGGAAGATAACTTTTTGGAGTTATTAATCTTTGATAAATCCTTATTCTTATAATTAATTTGACAAAATGAAATAATCAAAATCATATCATAAATCATAGATTTCATAATAGATCATATTAAGGATTAAATGACGCTCTTGTACTAAAAGTCATCTTACATTCTCCCACTTGATCGTTACGATATACATATGATTGTTTTATTTAATCTTTGATAAATCCTTGTTCTTATAACTAATTTAACAAAATGAAACAATCATAAATCATATCATAAATCATAGGTTTCAAATAGATCATATTAAGGATTAAATGACGCTCTTGTACTAAAAGTTTGGACTATTTGAAGGTTTCAGTTATTTCTTTCTTTCCATTTTAATACACGTCTTTAGGTTGATTCCAACGGGAGCGCCGTTTCCTCTTTTGTCCCCATTTATGACGAGGCAAAATTAGGGATGAAATGGTGACTCCCGAGAAATGAGGAGGGGGTGTGCTGGTTGGCGGGACAACCGCCAGCCCCACCACCTTGCTTTTTTTTTTCTTTTTGATATTTTAGGGTTTAATTATGGTTTAATTAGAAATTTAATTAGATCAATCATTTTTAAGTGTTGTGTGTAAAGAAAACTTAGGTCAAATCAGTTTTTGCCAAAAGAATTTGGTCTTGGAATTTAAAAAAATTCTATCAACAAATTTGTATTTAAAAATGATGATAATTATACAAAAAATTGACATGAACAAATTTGATTAGGAGGATCATAAGTACATTTTTAAGTAAAGAAAAACTAGAAAATAGAGAGGTCTCCAAATTTGGAGATAATAGCATTAATGGAGCAAAAATAAGGAAAATGGAGATAATCCCCAAATTTGGAGACTAGCATTGGAGTTGGTCTTATGAGTTAAATTGGAAATGAATATGAATGCTAATTCGTTTCCTCTGATTGGAGTACTGTCAGTTCTGATGTTTCCTCCCACCAAAAAAAAAGTTCTGATGTTTCCAAATAGTTAACCGTTCCAAAGGAACTAGCACTTGGCCCGGCCTATTGGCCGGAAAACCTAATAATTATGTATTTGAGTATTTCATATGTATTGTAGATGCATATAATATGTTTTGAAAAGATAGTAATTATGTGTTTGAGTATTTCATGAGGAATTTTACATTGCTATATAACATTGGTGTTATAGGTTTTTACCTTTTTGGTACAAGTTCATATTGCACCTATACTCTTTTGTACATATTCTTTTATGGTAGAACTTGTACTTGTACCTTTATGTGATGGTACAACTTGAAGATGTAAAGTTGTACCATAACATAAGGGTACAAATTTCTTTATTGTACAACATGAAATTATACATTTAACCTTATGGTACAACTTCAAGTTGCACATTAAAACACTAATGCTTTATAGCATAGTAGAAGTGAATGTGTGTTGAACTGTTGATTGCTTAGTTGACAAGAATTATCTTGGCAAGAAGTACTACAATGAATTTTATAATTACAATGTAGTTGAAAGATGATAAATATTCCAAATATAATTAAAGTTATACAAGAGTTAGGTACGGTAGCATAAGAGTTTTGCTAACTTATGCTTCTGGTTACTTTCCTTGGCTAACAGCCTACTCTTCCTCAACGTGTGCCGCTGCGGTGGTAAATCATGGAAATTGGCTTTCACACGTTTCTCCCATTATCTCTCTCGATTGGAATCGATAATCAATCTTTGGTCAAGCTTGAGTGAGAGTCGGCAGAGAAGAAAATTTTGCTACGGAAGGGAAATTGGTATGCAGAGCCAGAGGTGAGATGCTTTGTTTGTTGACGCTTTGACTTTGACGCCAGTGAAGGAGCAAGGGACCTTGGTTGGGGAGTTCCGCCGAGGGCCAAGCTCTCTACCTCCGCCATCTTGATCAACGAGGGTTAATCCAAGTTCCGATCTTCCCTCTCTTATTGAATCGCGTTTGGTGTGAGATGAATTGTGATTTTTGACATTTTTGCTCTGTGGCAGAGAAGAAGAAGAAGAACAAATATGGTGAAGAAATTGGTAGGGTGACTGAGAATTTGAGATGGTCTCCAAGTGGGTTCGGAAGTCTAAGAGGCAAGTGGAGGAGATGGCAACACCGGGGAGCTGGAAGAGGGAAGTTTCGTTGTGGCAGATTCTTAACTTCATTTTTAACTTATAAAGGGGAAAAAGCATGTTTGAGAAAGATAACCTACTGTGACTGGCCCTGATGCCTAGGTACTGGATGTTGGATGGTTGTTTACAGAGCAAGGTTAAGGTATGCTTTTGGAAGAGTTGGCAGTACTAGTCTATATGAACGATGATGTATTTTACTATCAACCTTCAGTTCTTGATTTCACTTTTAATGGGCTCATAAGATTAAAAGGAGAGCCGATAGATAGATAGATAGATACCCAAAAGTCTAATGCACACTCAAATCTCCTGCTCTGGCAATTTGATTTCATTATTGTAGAGGGATTTTGGTTTCTCACTGCTGGAGGAGCCTTGGTAGAAAGAGGAGATCCCTGTTAATTTTGGGTTATGCATGGAAATCCATGTCCTGTTAAATCGTCCTCAAGTCACAAGATACAATCACTCTCCGACTCTTAACCAATTTCATTGAGTAGTTTAAGGTATTTTGTCAGTATGTAAACCAAATTAGTCAATATGCTCACAAGATTAATGAGTATGTTTGAAAGTTTCATGGCGTAAGGTGCGGCTGTCATTTATTTGGATATCTCTTCCCTGATCTCTTACATAACATATGTTTAATTGTGGTATTTGTTATAGACAAGGTGCCATCTCTTTCGTTGAGCACTATGAAATTAAAGGAGGAGTGTGTGGGTTTGGAACCCAAATATGCAGAGAGGAGTACGCCAATAGAAACATCGTATGTGCTTGCTAAAGCCAGAGTTCGGCTATGAATGTGGGCTTGAGTTTTGGATCTTATTGTTTCCAGAAGGCGAAAGTTGATCGATCCTTTGTGTTGTCAAAAAAACATATGCGGGTAAGATTTTCACTCAGGAAATTTGAGTTTTTTTATGTAGTTCTTCTATTAAAAGAACAAGTTCTGCTGCATTGTTCCTTAGAGTCACATCCAACTACTGTTACTTGGTTTGCTTTTTGGTTCTCCTAATCAATTCTTGGTTGCCTTCTGTGACTTGGTTTGCTTTTTGGTCTCTTCCATTGGGTGCTCTTTCCCATATACTTGGTCTGCTCCCGTCACTTCCCATCTGACAAACAAAGACTTTCCTTCCTCAACTCTCCCTTCCTATCCTTTTCCAACTTCTCACATACCATTTCTCAGCCACTCACCCTCCTCACTCTCTTGGAAGAAGAAGAATAAGAGAAAAAGCTACTTTGGTGTTCCATTCATTTAATATTTTCCCTCCATTCTCTTCCTCTTTCCAATCCCGCACCAACCTGTAATCTCTTTGGCTTGATCATAATATCGATCATACATGGATATAGAGTAAGCTTCTAATCCCTTCTTACTTTAGATTCTTAGTTTTCAGGATTTTTGTTCATCCCTGTTTGTTGATTCTGTTTTTGGATGGGTTTGTTCATCACTTTTGCTCATTCTTTACAGATTGGAGTTTGTGGGGAAAGATATGATGGAAGATTACTCTCCCTCTCTCCTTCTCTCTCAGTGATTGAAAACTGATTAAGTAATAGAAGAAGAAGAAAGAACGTGAAAGAAGAGAGGAGGGGCAGCCAAAGAAGAAGAAGAACGTAGGAGGAGAGGAGGGGCATCCAAACAACCCGTATATCAACAGCTAGGTTTCAGGAGATAAGGCTGAGGCGGTTGCGGGAGGCCCCGTCGACAGAGTTGCAGGCGAGCCTGGAGAAGACGACAATACATGATTAGTGAGAGAGAGCGTGTGGTCGTTGGCGGCCAGGGGTGGTGGGGAATGGGGATAGTGTATGGGTTTTTTCTTTGTGTTAAAAGAGGTGAATGTGTATTGTAGATGCATATAATATGTTTTGAAAAGATAGTAATGATGTGTTTGAGTATTTCATGAGGAATTTTACATTGCTATATAGCATTGGTGTTATAGGTTTTTACCTTTATGGTACAAGTTCATATTGCACCTATACTCTTTTGTACATATTCTTTTATGGTAGAACTTGTACTTGTACCTTTATGTGATGGTACAACTTGAAGATGTAAAGTTGTACCATAACATAAGGGTACAAATTCCTTTATTGTACAACATGAAATTATACATTTAACCTTATGGTACAACTTCAAGTTGCACATTAAAACACTAA